TATCCTCCTGGTGCCCTGACATCCCCCCGCTGCTTTGCCCAATTATCATTTTCCAATGCAACTACTCTATTCCAAACTTAAAAATGGAAAGCGTAATGCTGGTGGTCAACAAAAGAGGTTTAAAGACTCTCTCAAGGCAAATCTAAAATAAATGTAGTATAAACACCGACAATTGGGAAACATTGGCCTGCGAGTGCTCCAATTGGAGAACAGCCTTTACCAAAGGTGTCATGGACTTTGAAGATGTTCGAACTCAGGACGAAAGGGAGAAACAAGTTAAGAGGAAGGAACGCTTGGCAAAACATCACTGTGATCATCTCCTGCTTAGAAACCTATATCCCCACTCCGGAAAGACGTGTGGATCCAGAATTGGCCTCCACAGTCACTTACGGACTCACTGTTAAGATCGTGTTCATGGAAGACAATCTTACTCGGCTACAAGTTATCACTAAAGAGGAGGAAGAAAGAAGAGCTTTGTGAGCCTCAGATGTGTGATTGGGCTCTCAAAGCAACACAGGGACCGCATGAGAAACAAAATACCCTCAGAATACCCTTCACTCTGCCCCACTACACCTCTGTTTCCTGCTCCATCACAGTAGGAGATCGCTGGAGAAGGCTGAGCTCTTCATTTCAGCACACCCTTCAAGTCCTGTCTTATTAGCAAGCTTCAACAGCATGAGCGAGTTCATGAGTGTACTTTTCTCACGTACAAGCTCTGTAGAAGAAGAAGAGGAGGAGGAGGAGGAGGAGGAGGAGGAGGAGGAGGAGTTTGGATTTGATATCCTGCTTTATCACTACCCTAAGGAGTCTCAAAGCGGCTAACAATCTCCTTTTCCCTTCCTCCACCACAACAAACACTCTGTGAGGTGAGTGAGGCTGAGAGACTTCAGAGAAGTGTGACTAGCCCAAGGTCACCCAGCAGCTGCATGTGGAGGAGCAGGGAATCGAACCCTGCTCACCAGATTACAAGTCCACCGCTCTTAACCACTACACCACACTGTGAAGCACACGCCTGTGTATGACCCTTGGCCTAGACCTGAGGCAGGCTCAACGCTTCGTTCTCATTCTTCATCCTTATCAGCATGTGAATACAACTGCCCCCCAAAAGCACTTTCCAAGCATTGTCCTACAATAGTGGGAGCCACTGAAGTATTCCTTCCTTCGTCATTTGAGTGGAATTACTTCCCCCGCAGTCAAACAATGCCTTGTCATGTAACTTCCCTTGTGCCTCACAACAGGAATCCTTGCAATGATAAAGCTTCTCTCTGCAGGAAGCGTCATCCATCCATCTTCTCTGCAGCATCCCAGACAGGAAGGCCTCCTCCTGTATATCTCACTGCCAAGCTATCAATATTGATTGCCACTATCCTACCCAAGAGACATCAATCCCTTCTCTTCATTCTTTCTGTAGCACCTGCTCTAAAATATATCTCCATTTGGAGGCACCCCACAGTCCCTTCCCCAATTTGGCGGGAACTCGCTTCTGACAAGAACAAAGTTGTTGTGGCAATGATACAAAGTGCTGTGCATATTCTTTCAATTTTCATTGCTAGACTCTCTTTCTTTCCACTCATACATGGGGATGGGCGAAACATCTACAGGTATTTCTGTGGATATTTCCAGGTCACTCCAGAGTAGAGCTGTGCCAAAAATTTCTCCCACATTTTTGGACCATAGCTCATCAGTCAATGAAAAAAGAAATTGCATTCAAAAATTATCAAAGGGAAGGGAATTTGTGTGTGTGTGTGTGTGTGTGTGTGTGTGTGTGTGGAGTTTTTATGGGTAGGGCACAGATGTTTTCATGAACATTCTTTCTTTCTGAGATGGTAACTGAAGGGTGTTTGCAAGTATCCTTTTTTCGTTGCACAAATCTGCATTGCGCAGCCTTCCTGGGTGCTCACCTTTCCTGAAAACCTCATGACATCTTCAGCTGGACTTTCCTCTTAAACACAGGAAGGTAGGAAAGCTGTGTGATCTGCACCTGACAACTGTTCATTTTTATTTTTCAAGTGAGATTTTATTTTTAACAGAACTGTGCTGGGCCCGGGGGTAACCCGAGTAACACAGTCTGGGTCCAGTCCCAAATCCAAGGGTTCTGCGAGGAGTTGATCCAGCAGGGCCTAGGCAGGACACGAGGCAGGAAACTAGGCAAGGTCAGGCACAGGGTCTCAGGCAGGTCTGGCAAACAGCAACGTTGCTCCCGCAACCTGGGGCGGGGTCCGACAGCCTTTTATCTTTGGCTGGGTAACGGCCGGTCCTGATTCCCCGGTGACTCACCTCCCTGTCTCGCCCGAAGGCGAGCATTCCTCCTGTGAGTACTCAGGTCTCTTCTCCTCTCAGACCTTCGTCTCTACAGCTCAGGAGATGTCGGTGGGTTACTGGACCCAGAGGCCACCTTCAGCCTCTCCTGACCCAACCGGTAGTGGAGCAGCTGTAAGTGATTGCCCAGCTGAAGGCAATGAGGTAATCCCAGCATCTGGAGCCAGGGCAGGCTCAGGTCCCTGACTCGGCCCAGCTGGTGCTTGTTTCAGGGGAACCTGTGCAGACTGGGGCTCTTCAGAATCAGACCCCAGACCTGGTTCAGATGCCACCTGAGGCAAAGGATCCGGTGCGGACTGAGCCCAAGTCCCAGGCCATCACAAGAACTCAGTGTGGGTTTTGTTTTTAGTAAAAGGAAGCACTTCCCTTAAAAACAAAATCACCAAGCAAAATGGGACCAGCCTCCTGGTTTCCTGGACTCAAGGGAAGATGACATCAAATAACTTATGGGGTTTTCCAGATCAAGAAGCTTAGGCAGCCAGGGAGGCTGCAGTGGTAGAGAAATGTTCAGTAAAAAGGGGGGGAACACACAAACTACCTGCAACCACCTTGCGATGATATAGTAAGCGCAACCCTGCACTCACCAAAGTTCTGAAGAAGCTCAAAATAAATTTTAAAGTACTGTGAGAGTGAGGGAGAAAAATAGAAGACTTTCACAGTGGAATGAAGTCTTTTGAGAAATTGGAGCACAGGTTTTGGAACAGCATCTTCACAAAGCAACATAGGAGATTTGAGCTATTGAGCCACAAAAGTGTATGAGCAACATATATTTTTATATTTAGACTCACAGGTTTGTTCCCTGTTCAAAGTGGTGACTGTTGCTTATGATTGTTCACCATCTAAGTGTTAACTGGATTGGGGCTGTTTATTTTTGCTTCCTACAAAAGTGCAAACTGGCTTGTTACTGTGTTGACCTGTTTACTCAAGAGATAGGACTACAGCAAGCCCTTTCCCAGCAATTTATTATTTTTTTTGCAAGTGTCACAACATCTTTTACCAGTTTCTTGCCTTCTTTGTCTTGCTTTTGCAAGATTAATAATCACCATTCAGAAACCTGTTGCTTTAGTCAGGACACTTATATATACCTGTGAATATGTAATTTTCACTTCATGGAGCGAAGACTCATTTTACCACCACTACGTGTAACTTAAGAAGCAGCCATCGGTGAATTTGGGTAGAAAGGCATTGTGGATAACAAGGAAAGAGATAATGAGAGTTTTTATATTTGCAACTCCTTTACTGTTACCAAGCAGGAATCAAAGCAATCTGCTTCTTTTTCTCTATGACTTCCAAAGCTATTCAAGTTTCAGGAGTTCATAAAATACAGGGCTTAATATATCAGAAGGAACCCTCCTTAAACTTGTTAGCAAATGATATGTAATAAAACCTCTAAACTTGCTATACTTATGCATGATATTTTACTGTCTAGTACAGGAGAAAATATTTTCCATCACAAGTTCTATCTTATATTTTGAATATTTATTTGCTTCTCTTGCAATATCCCCCCATGAGGTAGTAGGATTATTTTGTTTTTCTGATTCCCCAGACCCACTCCCCTGAGATGGCTCTATTTTCTTGAGATAAAATATTGCTGGAGGATTTGTGATGAAATGCATGAACCATACATGGTGTTTTTGGATAATGGGAGATCCTCTCACTGTAAATAGAAATAGATGGATATTATGCATGTCTGCTGGGATAGCTCAATCGGTCGAGCGTGAGACTCAACCTCAGGGTCAAAGGTTTGAGTTGCATATAGGGCAAAAGATTCTTGCGTTGAACAGGGTTGGACTAGATGACCCTTGTGGTCCTTCCGTCTGTGGATATTTTATTCCTGCTCTGTAAATCGTTTTGGAAAATATTAACCCCCTCCCCTGAATATTTACTGTGCAGCATGGATACAGGGGTTCTGCGGGGTGGGATTCAATGGAAATTATTGACACAGAAATATTAAATCATATGCAATGTACATATTTCTATACAGGATGAGTCCAGTCCCAGCATAACTTTCAATGCATGCTGGAAAGGAAGTAGGGAATTAAACTGATGGGCACTTAATGTGGGGTAACCTGCCTTATGTCTAATTAATGCATGAAGGGGTTAAAACCATAGAGTAAGCTGTCCTGCTAGTCTTAGCTCCCCTTGGGAGGGATTAGGTAGGATTCCAGGAAAGTTAAATAAGACATCAGGAACCTGCTCCTGTTTCAGCTGGACTGTCTCCTCTGCCCACATGATCATCTACCACAGGGGTCGGCAAGCTTTGCCGGCCATGGGCTGGATCACTCCCACAGAGATCATGCATGGGCCAGACTGGCACAGCGCGATGCCAGAAATCGCATCTGCGCATGTCCAGACGCCAAAAATCACTTCTGTGCATGCCCAGACACCGAAAATTGCGCCTGCATAGAAGTGATTTTTGGCGTCTGGACATGCGCAGATGCGATTTCTGGTATCTACGCGTGCACAGACGCCATTTCCGGCGCCACTCGCCGAGTCCTGCACCGCACCATGCTGCTTTAGCACAGCGTGAGAGGGACTTGCCAAGCAGGCGGCTCGGTTTGTGGGCGGCTCGTGGGCCGGTAAAACGGTCTTCGTGGGCCACATCCGGCCCATGGGCTGCACGTTGCCGACCCTTGATCTACCACCAGCTGCCCTGTGGGAAACACCTTTCAATCTGAGGAGAGCTCAGTTGGTAGAGCATGAGACTCTTAACCTCAAGGTCGTGGGTTCAACCCCATCTTGGGCAAAAGATTCCTACACTGCAGGGGGTTGGACTAGATGTTACTTGTGGTTCCTCTCAACCCTACAATTCTATGGTTCTGTGACTCCTCAGTGGCACAGCCTGCCCAGTGCCTCTTCACTTGCTTGCCTCATGCCGTAGCCGTGTGATAGCCTTTTGGTTGAACCACTGACAGCGCCAGCAACTCCTTGAACCGCAGTGCTCTGTGGAAGAGGAGAGAAAAAGTGTGGCAGTTCAGGCAGAGTATGGAGAAGGAATAAGTAGCAGGTCGAATGTGAAAAGAGAGCAAGGGCAGGGGCAGGGCTGGATGAGGCCCTAAGCTACTGAAGGTAATGGGGCCCTTTATATGTCCAGCTGTCATTTGTCAACAACAAATTGCTGCTGTTTTTTTTTTTGTGTGTGTTGAATATATTCTATATGGTAATTTATGAACCTAATAGGTATCTAAAGCCATTTGCACATGTGGCCATGCAAGCAGTCCATGCAGAATGTAGGCACCCTATATATAGATATGAGCAAACCAGAGATATTTTAGGGAGCAGGCTAGCAGGCGGGGCCCATTATTTACATCCTAGGGGCCTACACAATGCAAAACACTGTTGCTGTATTTAGGTTTTATTTTATTTGTTTTTTATCTTATATTTTGGAAATGTACATCCAGTTTTTTAATTTTTGGGGGGCCCCCAAGAGAATGGGGCCCTAAGCTATAGCTCGTTTAGCTTATATGTCAATCCAGCACTGGGCTGGGTGGAGACAGGAGAGGGGTGAAGATATTTTGAGATGCATGTGAGAGTGGGAAGGGGAAAATATAAATGACGAAAGCTCCACCTGAGCCTCCGGATCAGCAAATTCTGCTTAAAGTGGGGAGGCTGTGCCACAATAGCTCCAGAGAAAATGTCTGTACGTAGCTTGAGGAAGAGTGCACTATGGAACTCTTTAGGTAAAGGTAAACGGACCCCTGACCCTTAGGTCCAGTCGTGGCCGACTCTGGGGTTGCGGCGCTCATCTCGCTTTATTGGCTGAGGGAGCCAGCGTACAGCTTCCGGGTCATGTGACCAGCATGACTAAGCAGCTTCTGGCGAACCAGAGCAGTGCACAGAAACGCCATTTACCCTTCCCGCCGGAGCGGTACCTATTTATCTCTTTGCACTTTGACGTGCTTTCGAACTGCTAGGTTGGCAGGAGCAGGGACCGAGCAATGGGAGCTCACCCCGTCGCGGGGATTCGAACCGCGGACCTTCTGACTGGCAATTCCTAGGCTCTGTGGTTTAACCCACAGCACCACCCATGTCCCTCTATGGAACTCTTTGCCACAAGGCAAAACACTGTTGTAAAGAATTTTCCAATTTCCATCGGTAGAAAAATATGGCAGCAATTCCCAACTGCTTATGCCAGCCTCTTCCACCATTTTGTGACTGGTTTTACTCCCTGGCCAATATTTTGAGACGGGTGGGCCTCAGTTATTTTCACCCATCTCAACTGAGCCCTGCAGAGAAAAAGTTTGTGCTATGTGTTGATATTGCTTATTTTTTTTATGTACATTGATGTTAGCTGCCTTGGAAGGAGCTGTATCCTGAAAGATGAGATATAAATAATTTGTAATAAATAAAGGGGGCAGGAAACACCCTCACGGTGGCACGATTTAGAGGGCCAAGAAAATAAATGAAGTACTGGAAGTATCTTTCTTTCTGTACACTCGTTTATTTTCATTTATTTTATTATTCGAGTGGCAGACCTGATTAAACAGAATTGAGATTTTTGTTTTAAGTTTATCTGGTTTGCTTACTTTGAAAACCTCATTTTGTTTTCAGGGGAGGATTGGAGTGGAAGGAATGCTCAGATTAAGCAACAGTTTGTAGGAGCGTAATATAGGCATGCATGTGGAATATTCATGAATATGTCGAGTTCCTGCTACAGCAATTCTTTTAAAAATGAATCCGTTCTCTTTACACACATTTCTCTCTCTGCATTTTTCACACAATAATGTGCAAATTCTGAACACTGAACAGCACGCAGTCTGCCAAGGAAACTACCACAGGTATTCATACAAAGAATAAAGATTTTAGACAGAAGAAATAGAACGTGGGCTCTTTTTAAGTGCTTTTATTACTCATGTGTTGGTACACACTTATAATACATACACACAATTCGGCTAATTAACGTGCGCCTACAAAATGGCTTCGCGTTGCTTTAGTACATTGTTTTAAGCAAAAGTGGAGAACAGAATTTTCACCTTGCAGTCCAGATCTTGCATAACGTTGTTGCCAGCTGAAACCTGCTTGGCTCCTGATCTTCTTCTCCTGTATCAACGAGCTGTTTCCTCCAAAGATCTGGAAATAATATTTGGCAGGAATGTTACAACACTAGATCTGTTCCTACGGTCAAGATGTGCAGAATCTGAGAAATGTCCCGGGAGACCCGGTAAACACCTCTTCCTCCTTGTGGGTTTCTCTCTAAGTTAGCCCCTCTCAATTTCTCAATCAGAAATTTGTTTTTTAGGAAAGTGGCTCAGAGACGGAAAGAAGATAAAGTTCCTACCAGAGAAGAATGGCAGATGAAGTTGATGAAATGGCTAAAAAGACCGGAATGAGAAATCAGGAAGTCCAAAATTTTAATAAAGAATGGGGAAAATTTGTAACTTATCTTAAAGACCATTGTAAACAGTTAAAATCGTTAGTAGGATTGGAATATCACTTGTAGTTTAAGGGTGAATTCTGGGCACAGTGGAGATGTAAAAGATTTGGGTCACCATAAAGGATGCAGGAGGAAATGATTAATAATAGGACCCACAAAGAGGAGGATGGAAGTCCAAGAAATTCCCTGGAATCTTGTTTTTATTATTTATGTTTGATATTTATTTGATTTTTCAAATTAAAGTTTTACAGAGATTTGTTTGTTTTAAAATTTGCTTTAGGAAAGAATTCAATGGCAATTTTCATCCTCCTTGACATTGTAAACTTTGGGAAGTTGGGAATTTCCAGGAGGATATGCAGCTGATGGTAAAGGTAAAGGGACCCCTGACCATTAGGTCCAGCCGTGGCCGACTCTGGGGTTGCAGCGCTCATCTCGCTTTATTGGCCGAGGGAGCCGGCGTACAGCTTCCGGGTCATGTGTGGAAGTCTCCAAGGTGGTAACCCTGATGGCACCCTGCCTACCTCGCCACCTCTGCCACTGGGGAGAGATGTGGCACTAGCATCCATGGTGATTTCCAGCGAGATCTCACCAGAACCTGCCACCACTGCCACTTCACACTAATGCCACACAACCTAGGCAAGAGATGCCCAGGAGATCTGGCAAAATGAAACACACCACCCATGGTTCAGACATTGCCAGCGCTACTTTTCTAGAAAAAGGGGTGCCAGAACTCACCATGAATGCCGCTCTTTGTTGTCTTATACAGTGGTACCTCGGGTTAAGTACTTAATTCGTTCCAGAGGTCCATTCTTAACCTGAAACTGTTCTTAACCCCAAGCACCACTTTAGCTAATGGGGCCTCCCGCTGCTGCTGCGCCGCCGTGCGATTTCTGTTCTCACCCTGAAGCAAAGTTCTTACTATTTCTAGGTTAGCGGAGTCTGTAACCTGAAGCATATGTAACCCGAGGTACCACTGTAATGACAATGGTGCCTACCTGAGAGGTGCCAGAACTGTCAATCCGTTTGTTATTTACTGCCAAAGCAGCCATCGGCGCAGAAGGGGTGGCAGTGAGCAGAAAATGATGAAACTTTCTTGCCATTTTCACTCTCAGAAGCACCCCTCTCCGCCCAAGTGAAACAAACTTTCCCAAAACACAGCCTCAGAAGCCAGGACAGAACTGATCACTGCAGAGTCAATAATATGGGATTGATCATAGATTGAGGGGGTACATTGTCCTTCACCGGGGGGGGGGGAGCCTTGGACTGGGCCTGGCTCAGTGATCTTCGATGTAACACAGAGATGTACCTACGGGACTGCCTCTCCTGGTATGTCCCACAGAGGACCATACAGTCTTCAAACAAAAACATCTTGAAGGTCCCAGGCCACAGAGAGGTTAGGCTGGCCTCAACCAGAGCCAGGGCTTTTTGGGCTGTGGCTCCGATCTGGTGGAACGCTCTGTCACAAGAGACTAGGACCCTGCGGGACTTGACATCTTTCCGCAGGGCCTGCAAGACGGAGCTGTTCTGCCAGGCCTTTGGTCAAGGTGCAACCTGACTCCCTCCTTTGGCAATCTTCACAGAACTCTAGCCCAATGGTTGCCATCAATTTGATTTGAATTAATTTTATAATGAAATGATTTTAGAATGTTGTATTATTTTATTGTTGTTAGCCGCCCTGAGCCCGGCTTTGGCTGGGTAGGGTGGGATATAAATAAAAAATCATTATTATTATTATTATTATTATTATTATTATTATTATTATCACAAGTGCACAAGATGCTGCTTTGAGACACTGGAGCGACCGGTCTGCAGAAAAGATTTTGCAGAGGTCTCTCTAGGCATACTGAGAGTACAGACATGATTCTCTTCCACTGCATAAATCATTCCTCTGGTTTATTGCCCATAACTTGAAGAGGGGGAAAAAATCTCCAAACTGTGCACATCAGAAATCCTACCTTTATATATGATAATTGATTTAATCTCCCCCGGGGAAAGGTTATAGCTTGTAAGCCCGATTGTAAAGTCTACTGTTGTTAGGCAGGTATAGCAGCCTCATGATTCCACATCACTGCAGAATACATCACTATTTAAGATACATTAAACACAACATGTAGAAAATGAAAACAAAACCTTTTCCAAGCATCTATATGTTTTTACAAGCTTCCCCAGCAGGGAGCTAAATTTGTCCCATCAAGCTTACATGGCTTTTTCTCAAATGAGAACCATAATTTTCTTTTCAAATATACTGATTAGATCTCAATTGCTAGCAAAGAAATTGCTTATACAGTCATGTATATTTTACTGTATGGGATATGCTTCTACTTTAAGTGGAATTGATGGCAAACTCTGCATATATACCTGGACTTATTCTTGGATTGTGAGGGTTTTATTAAAGGGAATTCATTTCAAATACCTGGCTGGAATTTCTGTGCATTCCTAAATAGATCTGAATTGTACAACTACAAACAGTCTGGGATTAGCACCCCGAGAGCAGGGCTGAAAATGCTTCCTTGAGTTTACAAAGAAGGTATGAAAACCTCAATGACAAGTTTTAAACATAGCCCGATTTAAGATAATCCAGCAGTAGTGATAAGAAACTGAGGTTTTAAAGTTTCGAACAAACTCAAAAAACAGGGCAGAAACTGAAAAAGGTTTTAAACAAAACCCTATTTAAGAGAACCAAGCAGTAGTAATAAGAAATTGAGATTTGAAGTTTCAAACAAACTCTAAAACAGGGCAACAGATTTCAGATGATTTATCATTTATAAACATCAAACTCCTGAGATAAATACGGATATTTTAAGAAAGAAATTACTACAGAAGGAAAGGCATTGGATTTTTAGATTTGCTTCCTTAATTCCGTCAGGTCTCAACTCTTATATTGACTTTAGTTCCTTCTTGTAATCTCTTATAACTCTATTTAAACAATATTCTTGTTATTCTTTACAAACTTTCGCGACTATGCCCTATGTTTGAACTAGATAGTCTGTCCCTTTAAAAATTCTTTCACCTTACAGTATAAAAACCTGTGCTTGGGAACACCCTATATCATTCTTTAACATCAGCAGTCAGGAGCTCTTCAGCTGTTTTTGAGTCTGTTTGAAACTTAAAACCTCAATTTCTTAATAGGGCTATGCTTAAAACTTGTTTGAGTCTCTGCCCTGTTTTTGAGTTTGTTTGAAACTTCAAACCTTAATTTTGTATTACTATTGCTTGGTCCTCTTAAATAGGGCTATATTTAAAACTTGTCATTGAGGTTTTCATACCTTTCTTTAACATCAGCAGCCAGGAGCGCCTCAGCCCTGTTTTTGAGTTTGGTTGAAACTTCAAATCTCAATTTCTTATTAGTACTGCTTGGTTCTCTTAAACAGGGTTTTGTTTAAAACTTTTTTGAGTTTCTGCCCTGTTTTTTGAGTTTGAAACTTTAAAACCTCAATTTCTTATCACTACTGCTGGATTATCTTAAATGTTTAAAACTTGTCATTGAGGTTTCATACCATCTTTGTAAACTCAAGGAAGCATTTTCAGCCCTACTCTTGAGCTTGTTTGATATCACTTAACCGGCATCTCATTAAGTCTTTAATTCTAGTTTATTTTTTGATTTTTGTTATTCTATAGTCAATTACTTCTCATTTCAGGGATTTTCACGGTAATTTCTTTCGTCCTGTGTAATTTCTTGGGTTCGTGACTGTCTTTTTTTCACTGGGATTAGCACCCCAGCATCTCAGGAGTCTTTAAGACAAAACATAGTATTTAATAAATTTTACTATTTATTAAATTTGCATACCAACCTCCATCCAAAGACAGCAGGCTGGTGCATAACATAAAAAAACAAAATGAGAACACAAAATACATAACTAATCAATAACCCCTTCCCTCCAACAAACATATTTAAAAGGCCATAGATTGTTTAATCAGCCAAAGGGCTGGTTATAGAGAAACGTTTTAACTTGGCACTAATGATATGTAATGAAGGTGCCAGGGGAGGGAGCCACCACAGAAAAGGCTCTTTCTCATGTTGCCGCTCACTTGACCTATCATGGAAGTGGCACATAACGAAGGACCTCAGATGATGATTGCAGGGCCCTGGTCGGTTCATACGAGGCTGTTTAGGGCTTTATAGGACAAAACCAGCTCTCTGAACTGAGCCAATGCAGTTGGGCCAAGATTGGTGAAACATGCTCAAGCCGTCTTACCCCAGTGAATAACCTGGCCAAATTCTGCACCAGCTCAGGTTTCCAAACCATCTTCAGAGGCAGCCCTACATATACTGTGTTACAGTAATCTAACCTAGAGGATACCAGAGCACAGATAACAGAAGTTAGGCTGTCCTTGCCCAGATAGGGGTGCAAGCTGGGCTACCAGACAAAGCTGATGGAAGGCACTCAGCCGCCCCAAGGCTACCTGAGCCTTGAGCAAAGGATCTGGAATCAACCCCAAGGTTCCTCGCTCCTTCAGAGGAAGTGTAGCCTCATCAAGGGCAGGCAACCTGCCATCCAACAGGTCTATGGGACTGCCCACTAACAGGGCATGTCTTCATTTGGACTGAGCCTGCTGGTTGCTTCTCATCCAGTCCATTACCTTTGCAAATAAATTTTTATTGTTTTCAACATGTAATTCTTTTTCCAACAATCCTTATTGTCACATTATAATTCCTTTGACTCTGCCGAGTCCTGACTGCCCTCCCTCCCAACTGCTGGTATACACGTCACATACTTTTTGCATATATTATTGTCATAACTCTGTTTTACATTGGAGGTGTTATTCCAGTCCTGCTAGTGTCTTAATATTTTTGTTCTCCTTTATATATTCAATACATTTATTCCAATTGTTATTGTATCTCTGGTCCTCTTGGTCCCGGATCCTTCCTGTCAATTTGGCAAGTTCCGCAAAATCTATCATCTTCACCTGCCACTTCTGGATGGTTGGTAAATCTTGTGTTTTCCATCTTTGGGCCAGTAAAGTTCTTGCGGCGGCTGTGGCATACATGAACAAGTTCTGGTTTTATTTTAATTTCTTTTCCCACCAGACCTAGCAAAAATGTCTCTGGTCTTTTAGGAAAAGTATACTTAAATATCTTTTTAAGTTCATTATAGATTAACTCCCAGAATCTTTTTACCTTGCCACAAGTCCACCTCACCCAGTCCATTATCAAGGCAAAGCAACGGTCCATGTACTGCAGATGTGAAGGATAATATTCTGAAACTGTCTTACCCGTGAGCACCCTGGCCACTCATTCTGCACCAGTTGACGCTTCCAAACTGTCTTCAGATGTAGCTCAAAGTATAATCCTTACTGTGCTGATTAGGGTGTCATGATTTCTTATATGGGTTAGTCCATGGGTAGGCAAACTAAGGCCCAGGAGCCAGATCCAGCCCAATGGCCTTCTAAATCCGGCCCGCAGACGGTCTGGGAATCAGTGTGCTTTTACACGAGTAGAATGTGTCCTTTTATTTAAAATGCATCTCTGGGGTATTTGTGGGGCCTGGTTTAACTGTATTTGGTTGGAGTCAAGAATTTCCTGTTAACAGTTCTGTTCTTGTTTAAGATTGGGAGCCTGAACTCTAGAGCCTTCATTAAAAATAGAAAGTCGCTTGCCACCTGAAAGGAAAGCCAAGACACAAAATGCATACCCTTCTAAGTGCTTTCCAAGTTATCTCGGTGGTTTTGTTGTTGGGGCAGACCAGTGGTCCATGGAAGCGGTATGCTTGTTTAAGTGAGCAACTGGGGCAAAAATACTCAATTGAATACAAGTGGAATTATTTAAATCCTGCAGAACTCAGGCCAAATTAAGACTGGCTGAAGCCTTGGAGCTGTACTAATTTGCAGGGTGAAGGGACCACAGAAAGAAAAATTGCATTATATATATATTTAAAAATATGCATTTCTCTGGGTTAAAGGGTCCAAAATTTGATGCCTACCATACAAACAGTAAGCTCCCCTTTTGCAGTCTTTTTATACCTCGTTTCCATAGCCATGTGAGGCAGGTTAGGCTGAGTTGGGAATGACTTGCCCAAATCAGGAAATGAGCAGAAATAATGGTGGCTTAAAGGAGTTTAAAATGTGAAGCTGCATTTGTTAAGGCTATCTACTGCTGTTGATCAAGGTGTGGCTTTTGTTTACATTTTACTATAAAATACCAGGAGGGGATTTTATCAAGTCAAAGCCTGGAGGATGAGGGATGCCTGCTTTCCTAGAGCTAGCAGCAGCAGCAGCAATCCTAGTGGCAAGCTATTAATTGCAAAGTACTACATAAATTAAATGGGGAGAGCATTTTACACTGCTGAATTTATTCTTTGAGATGCATAGGTCAAGGCAGGTAAAGATCAGAGGAGGTATCAAAGTACCTCACACCCTCATTTTCCCATCCTTTCCCAATTTAAAATAGTAACTAAAACTTGAGTCTTATGGGATTTTGTAGGTGCCTGAAGTGTGACTGAGAAATGATAGTAAAAGATGTAAAATAACTTTCTTCCTCTTTGCGGCTGTTCCTTAAAGACACAGCTATCATCCTGCGCATATTTGCTTTGAGATCAGCAGCAGTGATTGCAATAGGACATACCCTTTGAATGGACATGCATAGGTTTCAGCTGCAAGTCAGCATGCCTTCATATAACGAAGGGCATGCAACTATTTTTAACTGTGGAATGAGTTCAATAATTCTAGTTACTTTGACTGATCTATTAGAGGGGAAAAACCCAAAAGCCAGAGTAAGTTTATAAATACCTTTATTAGGATCAACCAAAATGTCACAAACTAGTGGTTACAATAGTTTTCTTTTTATAGATGTGGGCACTACATCATAAAGCAAGGATGTCCACACACCGCAACCTATTCTATTTGCTACCCAGAAACGCTTGTTTCAAGCCTAATTTCAGTGGAAAGTCTCTGCAAATACATGCACACCCATCGGTGCTAAACTGGTGGGCCCTGCTCTAACTAAAGCACCAATCTGACTCGGCGCTACGTTTTCACTTCAGTAGCAGCAAGGAAGGTGGTAATGACACGATGCCTTTGCTGGTTAGGCTTCTTGACTGAGAAATTAATGGCAGAATCAAGTGGCTAAATGAATCAGAGAGAAGAGACAAGATGATTTTTCTTCTTCAAAAGGGACGCTACTCAAGTCTTCTTGAATCGGCGACCTGCCTGCTTCTTTCCCAAAGACCCCGATTCTCTGTCACCGCAACAATTTCCCATCGGTGCCGGTCATTTGTCACGTGATGAAACAGAGCAGATACCATCCGCCCCTTTGTTCTGGAGGCACCCGGATCTGTGCCTCCTCCTCCTGGTAGATGAGGGGATGGACTTTAGGGTTGCGACAACAGGTCAAAAAAGAGATTTTAAACCTAGGACAGAATGGGCAGAAGATAAATTGGACTGGGTTGTCTTCACACACTATATTGCTTCACTGAATATGGGGCAGATGACAACTGAAATTGCTGCCATGAGCATCTTGTGGAGAGGGCAGCAAGGAGCTGGACCGACTGAAGGCGTCCTGTCAAAAGAGCCTTCAAGAGAAGCCGTTTCGCTTCATGTATTTAAACCGGCCTTGAGAGCAATCTTTTGAAAAATAGATTATTTCGAAATAACAGATTAGTTCCATCCCTGATTGGGGAGGAATGGTCCCCTAGGGTTCAAAATCGTTACAAACACATGGGGGTGTGAAGTTAGCAATGTCTGGGGCCATCATGCATTCGCGGAAGCAGAATTGGCTCCCCTCTGCTGAAGTCTAGATACAAATACAACAGGCTGTTAAGTATTGTGTTGTGTTGTGTTGACTGTGTGATTTCACTCTGAAGTGTTCCCTGCTGCTTTGCATGGTGTTTGTTTTTTGAATAGTCTTTTCTTTCTTTTTTTTAAAAAAAGTTTTTTATTAAAGATTTTCTTGTTACAAAACAAATAAACAAGGAAAAGTACATACAGTGACTCCTCTTTTAGTTCATAGTCTTTTCCACAGTTCGTTTATTCACTTTTATTAGCTCTGCGAGAGACTGGAGAGTCCAGACCATAGCTGGTTGTGTTCGGTTGGTTGCATTGTGATTTGTGTGCGTGTGTGAGGGGCAGCAGGGTGGCAGGGGCAGGTTGTTGCGTCAGATTAGCCATATTGATTTGTATGCTGTTTGGGGGATAGGTCGTTGTCTTGTTGTGCTGTGTTTATGTGATACAAGGGGAGTCTTTTCAAAGTAAATAAAGTATTTAGTGGCCCATCAAGAGGCCCAGTTCAGTTGCACTGAAGAGTCTTACCAACGCAGGATTCAATTCCAAACATGTCTATTCAGAAGTAAGTCTACTCATAATTCAAGGCCAATTGAATTAAGAATACACCTCATTCCTGGCATGAGTGTCAAACTTTCCTGTCTCAAGATTTCCTCTAATTGGCAAACTTATAAACATTGGCTACCTCATTTCCAGATTGGACAGGGACAGAACACAGAGCTACAGGTATTAAAAACTAATTATTTACTGTAAAATCTGTAATCTAAAATAAAAAATGTCGGAGCACTCAAAACTGTTCAACTCTTTCCTGATGTGTAAGCTAAATATAATGATGTACGTGCACATTCTAAATAATCCAACAATTTCCTGTTGCACAATAACCCGTCCCCTCTCCCTTTGCTCACCTGAAAGAGTTGCTCTTACCACATTTTCCTGGCGGTAAAACCAGCAGTAGGAGTTGTCACAATGGAGGACATATCATCATGTTTCAGCCAGTGGATTCCAGCAGTGTCTAATTAAAAAATATAATAAAATACATAATAGCTTTCAGAGGTAGATGTGGTGTCTTCCTCCAGTTTTTATTGGGACTAAAAATTCCCATTAGCTCCAGTCAGAATTGGGCAAGACGATGGAAACCGTAGCATCTGGCGGACGCCACGTAAGCTATCCCTGATAAGGATGTTTTGCCCAACCACGGCCATTCAATATTGCCTTGTAGTAATTCATTTTAAGTCAAATGGAGGTATGCTGGTGACATACCAACTTTTATACAAACCTACCTGGAAGTAAGCCCAATGAGGCTTACATTAGATTACACTGTTAAAAACTCAAAACATCAATAGGGCCAATGGTGTGACGCTGATCACTTGGTGATCAATTAAGTTTAAACATTTAAAAACTTAATTAAATTTGCATTAAAAAAAAATCTAGCACATAGAAGCTATCTAATTGGCTAGGTTCCTTTTGGTCAGTAAAAAGGAAAGTTCTTCCAGAACACCAGTAACGTCACACACACATATGAGAGAAAAACTTTGAGTAGTCAAAGCAGGGAGGCTAATTCCGTTGGAAATTGGACAGGAGACAGATGATTTCCAGTTAAGTGGGCTATAATTTATTAATTCATTTTCCTGCCAACAGGAGAGATCAAATCCTTTCAGTCCTTCTCGGAATAATCCAATATATAAATAAATCATAGAAATGATAAAAGATACATCAAACGCGGATTTGCTTCAGTCCTGAAACATTTTTAAGGAAGGGAGTTGAAGTCTAGCTTTTGATTGCCACTTTTGAGAGACAAGTCTAATTTACAGAACTTCGTTTCCACCCTTTGGGTGCTCTATAGATGGCTCAACCTTTCATTGACTAAAATCTCCCACCTGACACTGCTGCTTGGTTGACAGTCCTTTGAATGTACACTTGATTGACTAACCTCTGGCCAGCTGCTAATTTCCTCCTATATCAGATGCACATTAGGACAATTGCTTCTGTCGTGCACCTTTTCTATATTAAGCAAGTTTCCTTCTCCTTCCCTTGCTTAGTGCTATAAGGTCAGTAAGCCACAAAGAAGTATTTCCCACCTGAATGTTTCACAGATGGCTCGTCTCCCGAAAATCAGCACCTTTCATTTTAAAACGATCGCTTGCCCATCCGTTTATTTAACCTTAACACATAGCTCGTAATTTAAATGCCACTGGTTGATTCTGCTAAGTAATATTACAAGGGGGTGGCAATGGGAGCCAAGCACATTTCTTGTCTTAAGAGCCTTTCGAAGACTTGCCAATAATTGTCACATCAGATTATTGTCTTGCGTTACGCAGAAAGTCAAGGTCGCGGCCAAATTTCCCGCAAATCAATGGGTGCGACAGCCGACGAAGCGCATCGGGATAAAACGGACTGCTTTGCATCCATGGGACGGAGACGGATAGATTAAAATATTGGGGAAAGTAGAGACCAGGAAGCGGAAGTCAACGAGAGACTCTTTAATAATAATAATAATTTATATTTATACCCTGCCCTACCCAGCCAAGGCCAGGCTCAGGGCGGCTAACAAGCAATAATAAAAACAAGTTGAATGATTACAACTTAAAAACAAAATTAAAATACAACATTAAAATATTAAAATGTAGCCTTATCTCAAATATTCCAATATTCTTTGGGAAGCTCAGAATATTTTCTAAAGTATTTGCTAGATATGCCCTAAGAGAATTCAATCAATGCGCTTCACTGCCCATGACCAACAAATGCCTGGCGGTGGCAAAATCTGTGACAATGGTGCATTCAAAATACTACGGAAAGGGTTAATGCTGTAGCATAAAATGTTGGGGGGACATAAACTGAGTCAGGTTTTTTTCGTTAGTTGTTATCGACTGTTGTGTGAGGGTTTTTATAAATAATTATTTTTTTATTAAAGATTTTCTTGGTTTACAAAAGTACAGGCGTTGTCTCTTTTTTCAGGCTGCACTCTTCTTTTACATTCAACTGTTGTGTGAGGGGTTTTTTAAAAAAATAATATTAACAGTATTTTTTATTAAAGATTTTCATGGTTTACAAAAGCACATGCATTGTCTCTTTTTTTGTTAGGCTGCAGTCTTTTACATTCAACTGCTGTGAGGTTTCTTTCAAAAAATTAAGTAATAATAATAACAACAGTATTTTTTATTATTATTAAAGATTATCTTAGTTTACAAGAGTACATGTGTTGTCTCTTTTTTTCCAGGCTGCAGTCTTGTACATTCAACTGTTGTGAGGTTGTTGTTTTTTTTAAAGTAGTAATAATAACAGTATTTTTTATTAAATATTATTTTGGTTTACAAAAGCACAGGCGTTGTCTCTTTTTTTCAGGCTGCAGACTCTTTTACATTCAACTGTTGTGTGAGGTTTTTTGTTTTTTAAAAAGTAATAATAATCATTTTTATTAAAAGTTTTCTTGGTTTACAAAAATGTCTCCTTTTTTCAGGCTAAAGTCTTTTACATTCGAAGTGAGTTTTAACTGTGAGAGCAGCAAGTGTTGCTGCCGCAGAGCCAGCCTGTAAATATTAGTCGGTCTCGGATACAACTTCATGTAAATATGTTTCAGTAATGTAAATATTGCATGCCTCTCTTGTGCATTCAGTCAGACCAGAGCCAAGTACAGCAAGTAAAAATCATGTTATTTTTAAACTTTAAAACAAAGTGTGTCTGGTTTGGGTCGACATGACTTATTTCCCTTTCCCCATTAATTATTATCAATAATATCCCTGTACACAGAAAACTAGGTATCAGGGAGAAGAAAGTGTTCTCCGCAATGTAAAGTTTACCATCAGGGTGGATAAAAACCAATGATTTAAAAAAACAAACAAACATATTTTTTTAATTTAAATCATATTTTTAAAATAAAACGCTTTTTGAGGAAAAGTCTTTCTAAAGATAGTTTTCTATTTAAGTTACATTACAGTCCAAAGGCTATTCATCAGGAAATAAGGATTTGTTTTAAGTTTTTCATGTGTGCTAAAACTCACGTCTACGTTGTTTTTTTAAAAAAACAAAACGTTTAACCACATCAGTTAACAAACATGGATGCATATGCTATAATGTTATTGCTTTAGTTAAATAAATTGTTTAAATTGTTCTCAAGGAAATGATTATTGTTCTCCTTCCAATAAAGTAAAGCAGAAAAGTTGTCCAAATATAAACAATAATTTCCTAATTACCTGTCTTTGTTTTTCTAACAGTATAACCAAATCAGTATTTTTTTGATATAACTGTAAAAACTATTCTGAAAATTTATTATTCAATAATAATAATAATAATAATAATAATAATAATGTTATTTATACCCCACCCATCTGGCTGGGTTTCCCCAGCCACTCTGGGGAATGAAACCTTCATCTGGTTGTAAATATTAAGATTATACCAGCAAGAATGAGTCTTTCTGTTTTTATCCTGAGATTTTAGGAGTTATATATCTAATATCTAATATCTAATAAATTTTCCTGTGACTCCCTTTTTAAAATGGCCTGCTCTCCCGAGTGTCCTCCCTATTCTGCTGACAAATTCTTTTATATTTTATGTGTTTAATATGTCTGGATTGTGAATGTTTTATGGATGGTTCGCTTGTTTTCTGTCCCTTTTGCATTTTTTTTTGGTCTTAAATTATGCCCATAAAGGCTGAACAAATGAACAAACTCATATGGCAACTGCAAAGAGCCCCAATAATAATAATTGTGGGGTTCGTGGTCCCATTTGAGAAAGTATTGTGGGCCACAGGGTAGATTTGATTTAAATCAAATCGATTTAAATCACTAGTCAGTAAGACTTGATTTAAATCATTCTTTTACATAAAGACTCATTCTTGCTGGTATAATCTTAATATTTACAACCAGATGATCGTTTCATTATTGGAATACTAAACTTTCAGAGTAGTTTTTACAGTTATATTTTTTTTAAATACTGATTTGGTTATACTATTAGAAATACATAGACATAATTATGAAATTATCGTGAGGTTTAATAAGTTAACTGTTTATATTTGGACAACTTTTCTGCGGCACTTTATCAGAAGGGGGAAAATAATCCTTTCCTTGAGAACAATTTATTTAATTAAAACAATAACATCACAGCATATGTATCCACGTTTGTTAACTGATGTGGTTAATTTTTTTTTTTTTTTAAAAAAACACCCCTCAGACTGAGTTTTAGCACCCATGAAAAACTTAAACCCTTCTTTTCATTATAGCCTTTGGACTATAATGTGACTTAAATAGAAAACTATCTTTGGAAAGATTTTTCCTCCAAAAGAATTTTATTTTAAAAATCCAATTTAAATAAATAAAAAAAAAATCTGATTTAAATAAAAAAAAATCTGAATTTTTTTCCCCTTTAAAAAAATAATAATCATTGATTTTTATCCCCCCTGCATGGTGACCATTGTCACTACTGGGGATTTTGGGCTGGCAGGAACAACGGCTTCATTGCATCCATTTTGTGCTGTTCTGTCCCAAAACGGCTGCCGGGGAGGGAGATGCAACTGCCATTTTATTTTTTAAATTTTAAAAGGCAACCGACTGGGAGAAGAGGGCATGGGGTTAGATTATTGGTTTGTTGTCCTTCTTCAATGCATTTCCCGTTTCTGTTTTTTGTTTATGTTGAGATCCGCCTTGTGATCTCAGGTTTGAAAGGCGGTGTACGAATCAAATACCGTATTTTTTGCTCTATAAAGACTCCCTTTTTCCCTCCTAAAAAAGTAAGGGGAAATGTGTGTGCATCTTATGGAGCGAATGCAGGCTGCGCAGCTATCCCAGAAGCCAGAACAGCAAGAGGGATTGCTGATTTCACTGCACAGCGATCCCTCTTTTCTGTTCTGGCTTCTGAGATTCAGAATATATTTTTTTTTCTTGTTTTCCTCCTCCAAAAACTAGGTGCGTCTTGTGGTCTGGTGCGTCTTATAGAGCGAAAAATACGGTAAATAACAATTTAACTTGGAAGGCAAACTGCGGTTTGGCAAGAGCAACACTGCAAAACACAGCTTTTGCCCCTACCTTGGCTGGTTTATGGGACAAAACAATGGTTTGACATCATTTTTTGTTTCTTGGATTTATATATATACCACCCTTCATCCTAAAATCACAGGGCGGCTCACAAGAAATTACCGTTTGGAGTTAATTGCACAGAACCAAGCAGAAAACCACACTTTCCCCACCCCCATAGGGGGTCGCGGGATTGCAGTCATGGGAAGGGGACCCCCGGGGGTCATCTAGACCAACCCCACGCAAGGCAGGTTTTCTGCACCCGGTTTTGTGAGTCACTCTCTGGATTGCAAGATAAAAAGCGACTTAACAAGTTTAACAAATGGTAAGAAGAATAAAGTTACATGGGAAATCCAGCAAGAGGGGCAGGGTATAAATACAATTATTATTATTATTATTATTATGGGTGGGGTATAAATAAATAAAAGTTGTTATTGTTGTTGTTGCAAGAGGGGCAGGGTATAAATACAATTATTATTATTATTATTATGGGTGGGGTATAAATAAATAAAAGTTGTTATCGTTGTTGTTGCAAGAGGGGCAGGGTATAAATACAATTATTATTATTATTATTATTATTATTATTATTATTATTATGGGTGGGGTATAAATAAATAAAAGTTGTTGTTGTTATTATTATTATTATTATTATCATCATCCCATTCTCTTCTAAACCCTCTCCCTCTTTTCTGGCTCCACATGCAGCCATATCCTCTTTTTCTCTCCAAAATGCCCTGGCTCCAGATTTTGCACTCCAGGTTTTGCGAGTCACTCTGGATTGCAAGATAAAAGCGACTTAACAAGTTCAACTTATGATAAGAAGAATAAAGTTGCATGGGAAACCCAGCCAGAGGAGTGGGGAATGAATGAAGGTATATAAGAATTAATAATAATAATAATAATAATAATAATAATAGCCCATTTCAGGGAAGGCAAACTACCCGCCTGCCCCTCTCTTCTAACCCCTTTCCCACTCTTTTCTGGCCTCGCATGCAGCCATTCCCACCTTTTCCTCTCCATTTTCTTCCCCTTCCCCCCACTTAAGCCCCCCAACCGCTTACCTACTTTCCTTTCCCTCCTTTGTCTAACTGCCCCGCATGCAAAGCCCATCCCTTGCTCTGCCCGTCCCAGCTTGACCAATGGGGACTTTTCTCTCTCCCAGCAGCCGAATTAGAACAAGTCATCTCTCTTCTCATTGGATAACACCGGCATAGAAAGAGTGAAAGAGGGAGGGACTATTCTAATTGAGAACAGCCCCTCTCTCCCCTTTGGAAAAGGGAATCATAGGAGTTGGGAAAGGGATCCTGGGGTCATCTAGTCCAACCCCCTACAATGCAGGAATCTCACAGCAGTCAGAACGTCAAGGCAATGTGGCACGTTTTGGGAGAGGGAGGGAGGGTGTGTTTGTACAAATTTGTCATTCCATTTATTATTTTTGTTTGGTTGTTTGATAATAACAAATATTATCCACGTGCCGCTGCATAATGTCAATCTGTCCCAGTTGTAATAGGGTCTATAGCTTATAGTTTAAAGGCGGTTCAGCTAGGGCTGTCCCACCCATGAGGCAAGGTGCAGCAATTGGCAGCAGGATCCACAGGGCCATCAAATCCCAGTGTAGATCTTTGTTTTCTGCTTGTTCCTGATGTAGAGCTTCACTCACTCCTTCCCTGGTGGGGGGAGAGGTGCCATTTTGTGGTTTGCCTCAGGCGTCGAAATGCCTTGGGCTGGCCCTGGGTTCAGCAGAGTACCTTGAAACTTGTCCCACCCTTGTTTCTTGTGTTGGAAGGCCCAGTTTTTTTCCTGATTACTGCGCAGCAGGGAGAGTGCAACGTATAGAGCAGACAGAGATATGCAATGCCTTTGCAGAGGTCCTTGCCATGTTCAGACCCTTCATCTACATACACAACCGTCACCAGAATCAGTGCCGGATTTACGTATAAGCTAAACAAGCTATAGCTTAGGGCCCCACTCTCTTGGGGGCCCCAAAATATTTAAAGGGGAAAAACCTGGATGTACATTTCCAAAATAAAAGATTAAAAAAACAAATCAAATAAAACCTACATACAACAACAGTGTTTTGTGTTGTGTAGGCTCCTATGATGTAAGTAATGGACCCCAACAATTTGTTGTTGACAAAGGACAGCAGGACATACTAAGGGACCCATTATCTTCAGTAGCTGAGGGCCTCATCAAACCTAAATCTGGCCCTGACCTTAATGGCTGTACATCTACTGCAACTTCTACGTTCACACAGTTCAGCTATATGCTCTTCATAAATATTTTTGATAAAAACAAAAACTTCTGACCAATTCTACAGCTGATGGTCACTGATAGCCAAGAAATAGAAGCTCGAGTGTCTAGTAATGTATTCGCACAAGTGAAAATCTCAACAACAAAAAGGCCTCATTAGTTTCATAATGAGGCAGAGAAAGATAATCAAACCTAAGTCCAGCCCTGATCACAGCATGTCAATGCCTCCAGCTAGGGTGGGAAAAGGCTCCTGGGTGGAATCTACACGCATATAAAAACCGTTCTGAAAATACTTCAAAAAGCATTTTTAAAAAATACATTGAATTTTCCGTAAGGGTCATCATTGCCAACTCGTGTCACATTGTATACTGCACTTTAAACACACTTAAAACGTATTATTTGCAGCTGTATAGCCAAGTCCATAGTAGAAATTATGTGATTACTGCGCCTTGTGTTACTTGACTGTTTACACTGTGCATCACCCAGAGGACTAGGCTAGCTGGTGACCGATAAATGCAAAGAACAAGCAAACAGAAGAGTATCATGGCAAAGGTGCAAGGGGGTCATCTAGTCCAACCCCCTGTGATGCAGAAATCTTTGCCCAACCAACTGGAAACCATACCACATCCTGCTTAGCTTTGCATATGCGCTAGCAGTTTTCGTGCTGCGCCACTAGATTTTTCTATGGCTACAGAGGTACTTCGGGCTACAGACGCTTCAGGTTACATACGCTTCAGGTTACAGACCCCACTAACCCAGAAATAGTACCTCGGGTTAAGAACTCTGCTTCAGGATGAGAACAGAAATGGCGGTGTGTGGCGGTGGCGCAGCGGCAGCAGGAGGCCCCATTAGCTAAAGTGGTGCTTCAAGTTAAGAACAGTTTCATGTTAAGAACGGACCTCTGGAACGAATTAAGTACTTAACCCGAGGTACCACTGTATTTTGTTTTCTTAGAACAAGCAAGACGTGAACTGTTCAGTATTTGGGGGGACTCCAAACAGCATTACTGATTAAAGTTTCCCAGACTTTTAATAGATGTCACCTTTCATGATTTGATTCAATTGGGCCAGTCTAGATTCAGTGTCCACAGGGCTGAGAAAGAGGTGAGGATGGCTCACAGATAAACATAGACACAAAAACACACACATATCATAATTTTTGTGCATTAGTTTCTGGGCAGATGCTCCTGCGTACGCGTGAATATCTGACATGCTGAGGAAGCAGTGGCTGTAGGTATAATCATGATCTCTCCATTTCTGGCATAATCTTTTATCTGTGCATAGCTGGTGGAGCCCAAAGGGTCTTTTTCAGGGTGGCCCCCAACCCATATCCACAGTAATTTTCAAGATGGCAGCCTCTTTATTGCCCTTCACGCCATACATTAAAATCAATCCCCACACAAATGTACCCCAAAGAATCCTGGGAACTGTTGCATATTTATTCATTGATTTGATTTGCGTTCTGCCCTTCATCTGAAGATAACAGGGTAGTTTACAAAATGGGAACCCAAAATGCGTACTAAAACAAAAACGAGCAACCCCCTTCATGTTTAAAAGGCCTCAGATTGTTGACCAGCCAAAGGCCTGGTTATAAAGAAAGAGTTTCACCTGGTGTCTAAAGATATGAAATGAAAGCGCCAGGTGAACCTCCCCAGAACTAGAACTCCCAGAACCCTTGAACTACAGTTCCCAGAATATATATATATATATTTTAAAAAAGCAGGTGCAGGAAAATTCTTTAAATGTTTAGTGTGTATGCAGCAGTCTAATAAGTGGTAAGATAAAAGGAGCCTGAGTCAGTTGGTTAGTGGAAGGGAGACATTTACAGGATTAACTAATTTGAATTGGTTGGTTATGCCATTTTCTGTGGTTTTTTGTTCCAATTACAGGAAATGGCTTGACTCATTTCTGGGGTGGGTGGGTGAGAGAGAGAGCAGACATTGCCCTTCTCTAACACCAATCAACAAGCATTTCAACAAGAGTAAAGAACTTTTGTGTGTACATCTACAAAACAGCCAGCTTGGGGTTATAGTGAGTGGGCAGAATCTCATAAGATCGTTTCTTTCTGAGCTAGAGAAGCCAAGTGCGAGAAATGGTGCTCAGTTTGTACCGTAGCTGAGAACGTTGCGATCTGACCAAACTCGTATCTGAAGGAAAGGTTATTACAAACTCTGAAGTAAGCGTATTTGTTCAGGGTGATTCACGTGTCTCAGTTTCTGAGAAAAAGATGCAATTAGGAAAGGAGCAATTCAAGGCATGGTCCCTTCCTCAAACTGTGATTCTGCCTTTACCCAAATGCATTTTCCATAGATTGTAGAATAGCAGAGCACATACCTGTGTCTTCTGAAAAACACAGGCAGCAGGTAGCATGGGATGCAGGTAAGGCACTTAAGAAATACTCTGCAGGTACCATATACTGCAATTATCTAGACCACTGTTCTCAGATGCACATAAGCTTTCACAATTACTCTCCTAATGAGTTAATGTGCTTCATTACGAATTTATTCATCAGCCAGAAACCTGGAGGTTGGGGTTTTTTTTTTGCTGTTTTTCAGCAAATAATCATTATCTGCAGGGGGGAAATATCTAATTTGAAATAAGATGATACATATGTGGTGCTAGCTCAAACAATCTGCCAATTAGCCTGTTTCTAATAACACGAACTATTTCTGCAGACTAAATTAGAGAGGAGGCTGGAGCCAAATATAATCAATTAATCTTGTGAAAAAAACAAAACAAAACTACCAACGTCTTACTAAAAGGAGGAAGTTTTGAGCCTTTTCCTTTCCCTTAACATAAAATTGCAGTATGCAGTGGCATTGATTCAACAGACATTACTGAAGAGACTTAAGAGAAAGTCATGAGGAATGGCTTCTCTTGATGAAGCCAGGTGTGAAGCTTTTTGTACATATCATGTCAAATATGTGGTTTGTGTGTGTAGAATCATAGAATTGTAGAGCTGGAAGGGATCTCCAGGATCATCTAGTCTAACCCCCTACAATTCAGGATTCTCATACAATACAATACCTCTGCTTAAAAACCTCCAAGGAAGGAAAGTCTACCATCTCCTTGACACCTGATGGGAGGGCCCTTACGGTCAGAAAATTTTTCCTGATGTTTAGTGTTAGAATCTCCTTTCTTGTAACTTGAAGACATTGATTCAAGTCATACCCTCCAGAGCAGGGTGGGTGGGTGTTCCCTTACTCCATGGGTAGGCAAACTAAGGCCCTGGGGCCGGATCCGGCCCAATCACCTTCTAAATCCAGCCCAGGACAGTCTAGGAATCAGCGTGTTTTACACGAGTAGAATGTGTCCTTTTATTTAAAATGCATCTCCGGGTTATCTGTGGGGCCTGCCTAGTGTTTTTACATGAGTAGGATGTGTGCTTTTATATAAAATGCACCTCTGGGTGATTTGTGGGGCATAGGAATTCATTCATTTTTTTCTTCAAAATATAGTCCGGCCCCCACAGGGTCTGGCGGACAGTGGACCGGCCCCCTGCTGAAAAACTTTGCTGAACCATGCTTACTCCATGGGTAGGCAAACTAAGGCCCGGGGGCTGGATCTGGCCCAATCGCCTTCTAAATCTGGCCCGCAGACAGTCCGGGAATCAGCGTGTTTTTACATGAGCAGAATGTGTCCTTTTATATAAAATGCATCTCTGGGTTATTTGTGGGGCATAGGAATTCGTTCTTTTTTCTTTCCTTTTCAAAATATTGTCCGGCCCCCCACAAGGTCTGAGGGACAGTGGACCGGCCTCCTACTGAAAAACTTTGCTGGCCCCTGCCTTAATCCTAAACTGTTTGCTGTTATGTACAAGTTTTGCTTTGCTTTGTTTAACTTTCTATCTGCACTATTCCCTGCGGTCTAATTGTAGAAGCTCTTTTTGTGTGGGTTTTGTTTTATTTCCAGGATGCTGGAGAATACCAAT